CTTTTATATGTATAATGTTTTCATCATAAGACACTAAATGGCAAAATATTGCAATAATGTTGCAATAATCTTGCTACCGAAATGTCCTTTCTTATATATATATATAATATTTTTTTTGAAATGTTGATGCGCAAATGTTGCTAGCAAAGTAATTCATCTTATATATATGGTTTTTGCTACACGGGAAGTAAAGATTTCAAAATCACAAAAAACAAATAATACTTTTATAGATACATAAATACACATTCATAAATACATATTCCGCCTAAAAGCTTTTGGTTGATAATTAAACTTTTTATATTATAATATATTTTCTCTCCCATCTGCCCAGTAATTGACACGATTCTTTCTCTGTCTCTCTCTCTCTCTCTCTTTAACGGAAATAGTGCTCTCACAAAATTTTGGTTTTTATTGCAATTCGAATTTTATCAGAGGCCACTAAATGACAAGATGGTCTAATATTTTATACAAAATTTAAACTACGAAATTATTAGGGATTTTTCTTTCTACTATGAACTACTTAGCAATTGTGTGACAGCTTGATCTTTGATCCTCCTTTTTTTGCACAGGCAAATATTCTGTCAATAGTTTTTTAATATGACGACGGATCGGATCTCAAACGTCTGCAAAGTAGTAGCATAAACAATGTATTTTTTTGTAAATATGCGCCACGGTACAGATGTGAGCGCATATGCACGAAAGTAACCAAACCGTGGGTATATTTGTCCGTTCGTCAAATGCTTCGATATATATTCCAGCGAAAATTTTTATTTCAAAAGATATGGAGACATTTTTTATTACTTAAAAAAAATTATGTTGTAGGAATAATTTTAATTAAATATTTGCTTACACATATGTTGAACATATTTGTGTAACGTTCAATATTTTGAAATTTCTTCACAATTGTTCATGGAATATATTTTGATAGATGGGTATAAACTTTAAAATACTTCAATAACAAACAAACGTTTGTCTATTTACCTCCTGTTTGAGGATTTTCACCAATACAAGCTTATATATGTCCTTCATAGCCCATATTCATATTTAGAAACACAGATTTGTATGTGCGTTTGAGAGAGAATGCGACGTCATATCAAGAAGCTCTATAGAATCATTGCCCAGACAAATGATGGGAATGAAACAGCCAGCAGTCAAATGACTGTTAACTAACAGGGTTCCAGCTGTTATTGATATTCGGAACACAAAAAGTTCGTAATAATCTTCTAATTTGAATTTTGAACAAAATGTTGGACCATCTTGTCATTTAGTTGTCTCTACTTTTATGTAGATATATATGTATATGTACGCTTTGTTAATAAAACACCGGGCGGGAGAATATTAAAAGAAAGCATAAGTAAATTCGTTAGTTTCGCAGTTTCGTTTGTACCGTTAAGTTAAAATGTCCTGCTCCGTTTTGCAACGTTTAGCGTGTAATGTTTGCAGTTTGAGTAGACAAACAATATACCGGCATGAAGTAAGAAAAAGCAACCAAAAATATTCATAAAGTGGAACAATATTTTGTATATATATATACATGTATAATATACCTCTGTATGTACACATACGTACACTGTCGAATTTAATGCTTAAAATACATTACTAAAGCAAACTACAAATTGCCCTAACAACATCAAACGATTATGTAATGTGATAAAAAAAAAAAAAATTTGTGAAAAAAATGTGTGAAAATCATTCACGTAATAAACATAACACGTATATATACATATAAATTTAATTAATATTTAAAACTCGAGCATTACTTAAGAATTTATTGATTTTTCAGACTCAAGCAAAAACATTAATAAGCCAATGCTGCAAATTCTCCACTCGGCCGATTGTATTGCGCCTACCAAATGCAGCAAGCAGGGCTAAGTAATTGGAAAATTCTCTTTACTATGTATTGATTTATTCATAATATTTGCTTTTTAAGAATTTTACGCATTTATGGTCAACATAAAATACATACTTCAGCTGGTCTCTGGAGTGCACAGACAGTTAATGTCCCACCATTTGCTGATTCTATAACAGAAGGTGACGCTAAGTAAGATATTTTATATACTTTTAAAACATATTTGAAAAAAATTTTATCATATACTTACAATAAAATTTTATAGATTTCTTATGAAAGTCGGTGATCCAGTAACCACTGATCAAGTAGTAGCAGAAGTTGAAACCGATAAGACATCTGTGCCGGTACCTTCACCTTGTAATGGCACTGTTAAAGAATTTCATGTAAATGAAGGCGATACCGTTAAGCCCGGTCAAGCTTTATATACAATTGAAAAGTCAAATTAAAATGTTCCGAATTAATAATATTGTATTGAAATAATTTATGGAAAAAAAACAACTAAGATTAATTTTATTGAAATATTTAAAGTGAAAGTTGTTCACAAACTTGAAAGAACTTATCAAGAAAAAAAAAGTTTTTTCCTTCCCCAACGCTAAATAAATTCCTTTCCTTCTTTGGGATGGAAAGATTTGATAAGCTTGGCTCGTCCAACGTCTATCTAGTTATTTGCTAATTGAAAAGTAAAGAAAAGTCAACGAACAAATCATATGCCTGATCAAAACGAAAGCGCAGATCCCGGCAGTTCCAAAAGTCAGCTTAAATTTAATCCAACTTTTTTTTTGGATCTTTTTTCTTCCTGCTTTAAGTGCTTTAATTAAAATTTTACACCCTCTTCTTCTTCTTCTTCTTCTTGAATATTCAACTAATCTTTATTCCTTTATCTTTTTATTGATTATTCTAAAATGAACTTACTTCTGAAATCGGCTTTTTTATACCCTACACCGCTTATGTTACAGGGTATACTAGGTATGTACGTATGTAGCACGCACAGTTTATTATACCGATCGATTCAGAATCATAATCTGAATTGATTTAAGCCTATCTGTCCATCTGTCCGTCCGATGTTACATCCATGTAGATTTATATTCAAGCTACAAATCGCCATTTTTGAGAGATGTTATTAACATTCGCTACAGTGATATGTTTTGACCCAAGGGGGCGAACGCTATTGAAAATGGTACGGATCGGTCTACTTTTTCAACCACTTCCCATACAACGCCTTATTTTGAAAAGTCGTTATATGGAAAAAATTTGCAATTTTCAAAATTTCTCGGCAAAAGTGGCTGAATAGTTGTATGTCGGCATTACATATAAAGAAAACTGAAGTTCATGCGACAAGAAAGCATAATTTTCAATCCTTCATGATGAAAATTATATCGCAATTGTAATTTACCATAAAAAATATGCCTTTATATATAAACAAAATATAATTTTTGTCTTCTATAATAAAAATAAGAATTATGTTAGTAGAGTATTTAATGGTCCGATCATAATATAATATTCTTACCGGTTTTTGCTTATCTATTGTCCAAGTACGCAAACATTTGCGACTAATGGGTTACTTACTTAATAAGTTACGACACACAGACGAACCCACCGTCGCAACTGCATTTGTAAGACTCAGATCTCATAGCTACATACATACATATTTTATCAGTAGCAGGCTTTAAGCTTATTTAGACGTGTTCTCCTTTTTAGAGCGTCTACGGTTTTCTAAAACTGAGATTAAAATTTGAAAACTAGCTTAGTCTAAAGATGTATAGCATTTACGAATGAATCAGAAATAGTTGCGAAAAGAAAAATTTTGAAATCCCAGCAGAGAATGATTTATAAGTCGTTTTCATTAGATCCATGTAAAAGCCTTCCGCTAAAAGGTAGCTAATAAAATATTTTGCAATTTTCAAAACTTGGTTTATAACAATATGCACTGCGAGTCCAAGAGAGTCTTTCCAAGATGGATACAATTTTTTTTGGTTTATTGATTTTGATGAATATCTGCGCAAAATCAATGTCTACTATAGATCGACAAACTTTGAAAAACAGTTGAAAATTTAGAGCATTTTTGCCTTACATTATTATATAGTGCTGTATACGATTCTTATATTCCGAAACGAGTCTAAACAAATGTTTACGGCAGCTTAGGTCCATGTTTTTAGTCATCTTCAACAGAATGTAAAACTTTGATCTCAAAATTTTTATTGTCCTCAGTTGTCAATGGACTTAAGCAAAATATATAAATAATAATTTGGCTTTTGTTGATGCGATTTTTGCAAATAGCGGTGGATGCCGCGAGAGTTTGTAGTGTACGCACAATCCTCTTTTTACAGGATACAGACGCTCCCAAAAACTCGTGTAAAAAAATTCATGCAAAAAAATTCGCTAAAAAAAATATTGGCTAAATGGAACTGAAAAGTACTCTTAAAAATTTCATTTAAGAATTTATTTCGTGCTTACACCTTCTAATTCTTGGTAAAAAAAAAAAAAATATTACACTTTAAAAAACCAAACTAAATTGCGTAAAAAATACATACTCTATCCATTATTCGGGGAATCCTACCTCATGTACGCTTATAATCGACATAATCTAACCGAATTGTGAAAAATATAATATGAAGTCACAATGCATATTTGTGACAAGCGTGAATGCAAAAAATTCATAAAAACCTAAAAAAAAAAATTCATTAGAAAAATTCATGAAAAAAATTCGTTAAAAAAAATATTTAGAATATAATCATAGAATATTGAAAATCAACTTAAAACAAAAAAATTCGTATAAAAAGAGATTTTTTTCTTTTTAACTCGTTTTAAATCAGAATTACGCGTATTTGCGTTTATTGGGCATCATTTTTAGCCCGTACAATTATTTAAAATATTATTATTACTATTATTAGGCCTATGCACAAGATTTAATCATTTTATCTTTTGAAAGAGGCATTCATTGAGAAAAATTGCTACAATATCTATTAATTAGAATAGAATAGTTTCATTTTCTGCAACATTTTACAATATTTTTGGCAACATGGCGGTATCATGTCGATCCAACCACCGACCCATCTTTGCACTTCTTCAACTTTGCGGACACGCATGCCAGCTAAGCCAATGTTGCACTAATCTGGGCGGTTGGTAATCGCGAGGCGCCATGTTTGTTAAATATGCTGGGTGTGGCAGAACTTCCCATTCTAGTTGCAATAGCGTACTGTCGACAAGCGGCCAAATGACTTTTTCATTCAATTTGCGACGTAGCTATTTTCCTCCCTTTTAAACCCCTCTCTCGCCATTGCATGTAAACGTCTAGAAACAGTTGGCTCGTCAACTGCTAAGCTGTTCGAAAGTTTTTCGAGAGTTTATGCTAGGTTTTCGGACAACAAATCTTCCAATTTATGGTCCACTACTGCGAAACCGATAATTGAAATATGACGGACCGGCATCACCATAAGCTTCTGAACGTGTTTGATGGGTTTCAGCAGCATATATCTTCAAATCAAACAACAACAAAAATGAATATTGAAAATGTAATTTCGAGAGTTTCATGTCTAGCGTCAGCGTACCCTAAATGAATCAATAATATTAAATGGAAAACTGTTATTTTATGTAGAGGAGGTCAAAATCATCGAATTCAACCGTTATGTATACTGGTATTTCCAATTTCTTTATCATTTCTACCTGTAGAAATCGTTGATTAAAATTTTTGCAAACACCTACTATTATTAATTTAATCAGAGCAATAAATTCTAAGACGAAAGTCTTAAAGCTGTAGCATCATCTAAGGCTATCGGCGAATATTGAGATTTTAACTATTTAAAATAAAAAGTAATATTACTCTATCGGTAAGTTAAATGATTCGTTTTGTTTTCGTTTTCTGTGGAAAGAGACAATTATTCATTTTTCTGTTTTTATCCGCTAGCAGGCCTTTAACAGTGTTGCACTTTTTAGTCTAATTTGCTTAAAATTACTGGGTTATCTTAGTACACAACAAGAGATATATATCATCCTTCACAGTTCTACATTTTTAATGAATTTTTGTAATTACTTCTCTTTCTTTTCTAGGTAAAGTCTTCTAACAAATTGCAATTTGAATTTTTTGTGAGTTCTTACATCTGGTAATACTCATTCATAAAGAGTATATCTGTTATTTGAAATTTTTCATATTTCATTTAAGAAAAATACAAACATCTTAGCAAACGAAAAAAATAAAAACAGGAAATTTCAATTTTAAAGAACTCATAGAGTAATCAGATAAATTGGAAAGCAAAAAATAGGGAAGGAAAACCGTAGTTTGCTGGCTTTGTGAGAACAGGATTTTTGCTGTAAAAGAAAAATAGTTAATTTTATTTTAATTTATGATTTTGTTGAAAATAATTTAAGTACTTTTTTTCGCGAGGACAGTAAAGAACTTAATAAATTATGTTAAGTTTAAGATTATTAACCTTACGACATTTATCGCGTAAGATGCTTTCTATGAGAATGCAAACAGTCCATAGGCAAGAAGTAAGTAAAATTTTAATTGAACTCCTAAAGAACTTGAACAATATATTTCAATTCTAGGGAAAAGCAAGTGGCCTACTTCTTCAATATTCGAAATGGATTGCTACGTCAGCCGTCACTAACAATGCTAGGTAAATATTTACTTATCTTTGCATATTTGTGTGTCTTTTTAAATTTTACGATGGTTTTCCGATGATTTAAAAAAAATGAGAGAAATTCGGTAAGATGTCTCAGTGATGATTCGTCCTGATTGGTCTATGGTTTTATTGTTAATGTCGCTTACTTAGTCTTACCAGTATCGTCGTTTCCTTGCCTTCCGTGTGAAAAGTCCGGGCTTTTAAAATTTTATCCAATGGCAGTCTAATGGCACTTGTTTGCGTTAATTCTGACACTTTTCTCATTCAAGCAATGATTCTGATGATGTTTCTTTTTTTTTTTTGTATTTGGCACGATTGTGTCTTTATATTTTTTGTAGACGCAACACAAAAAATATCCCCTGTTCAGAAAACAAATGATAGCGTGTTATGTTAACATATTTTACATTGCTGTTTAAAATCATTTTAAATCAAAAATCAATGAAAATCATAATTTTATATCATATATTCGGACAACATTTTTTAGATGATTATTAACGAGGTAACAAACATCGGAGAATGCAATATTCTCAACATTCTCAAGATAAGCAATGTAATAATTAATGGAAGACTATTACAGTTCGCTTGCATACATGCTTAAATGCATCGGAGACCTCCTAAACTGCATTTAAGTTTAGCTAATGTGTTACTTTATTTATAAAGTTATAAATACCATCTTAATTGGTATGCGTCAACCGATGATTTATGTATAAATCCAGTAACTAGCAATCTGAACCATTTGCAAAACATAACTCAAATAAATTTAAGTTTGGAAATTTAGTAGGGAATGAGTATTCAATGTAAATTTCGGTTTGTAATTTGATTTATGATTTTTAGATTTTTAATTATCCACGGTAAGCAACGCATATACACTTCCGCTGGACGATGGCAGAGACAAACTGTTAATGTTCCGCCTTTCCCTGAATCTGTGGCTGAAGGCGAAGTTAAGTAAGTGATTAAAGTATATTTGGAATTTTGAAAGTTTTTCTAAGGAGTTTTTTTTTTTGGAAAATTTTAAAAAAAATACAAATTCAGCGAAATGTTTTCCTTATATAAGAATTATATTAGAGTTTTTGTCCCCACTAACGCGCAGACTTCCTACACTACAATCATTCGGGCATAAGTGTACATCTGAATAGCGGGACTCCATCCATCGGATGTCTGCCTTTCAAATAAAATTAAAATGGAATTCTGTACTTTTGGTTATCATCTTTTTTAGGCTAAGTTATCTTCTAGATAAGGGTAGCATACTGCACATGTGAACAGCGGAATTCCATCATATTTGGATATCTGCCTTTCCGATAAAATCACGATAACCGCTGTAAAATACTGTTCTGTACTTTTGGTTATCATCTTTTGTAGGTTAAGTTAGCTTTTAGGTTAGGCTAGCGTAGTACGTATGTTAACAGCGGAATTCCATCATATTTGGATATCTGCCTTTCAGATAAAATCACGATTATCGCTTCAAAATATGCTTCCGTACTTTTAGTTATAACCTTTTTTAAGTCAGTTGTTAGGTTGTCTAAAGAATCATTTGACTGAGGTCATTAGCTGGAATTGGAAATGAAAAAACTCGTCTAGTTATAGCTTTTATCTTACTTCGATTATCCCTTTCGCTTGTAGACTTTCTGTTCAAGTAGGACAACAAGTGAGCGTTGATCAGGTGATAATGGAAGTTGAAACGGATAAGACTGCTGTGCCAATACCGGCTCCATGTAATGGTATCATACGTGAGCTACTAGTGAAAGATGGGGATACTGTTAGGCCGGGGCAACCCGTATTTGTAATAGAACAAACAGAGGCTGGTGCTGCCCCAGCACCCAAGCCTGCTACTACCGCTGCGCCAGGCCAATCTCCACTAAAACCTGCTGTTGCAGCCGCTGCTAGAGCTCCAGCAGCCCCATCTCCTCCTAAACCACCTATCGCGGCAAAGGTACCTCCGCCACCCGTTGCCCCAGATCCTACTATACCGAAAGCTACTCTGCCGCCTCCAGAGGGTATGACACAGTTACAAGTTAAAATACCGCCAGCTCAGTATTCACGTGAAATTACTGGTACACGAACGGAACAACGCGTTAAGATGAATCGTATGCGCCAACGAATAGCATTGCGACTTAAGGAATCTCAAAATACGAATGCTATGCTAACAACATTTAATGAAATTGACATGAGGTAATTCATTTCACATTCAATCGCTGAATAGAACCGAAATATTTTAATTAATTATGTATTTAGTGCTGCGATGGAATTCCGTAAAACACATTTAAATGCCTTTACAAAGAAGTACGGTGTAAAACTGGGTTTTGTATCCATTTTTAGTAAAGCTTCTTCTTACGCTTTACAAGATCAACCGGTGGTTAATGCGGTCATCGAAGCCAAGGTACGTTTAATCTTGTTTATTTCCTTATTCTTACTATGAACTCTTCTCAGTGCAGTCATTACGAAATGACGGCCTTGACATACATACATAAGATGAAGTCTGTTAGGTTTGTAAGGTATAAAAATTTGCCTATGAAACTTAATTTATATAAAAAAAAAATCCATCAACATGACTAGAGTAATTAGTTTAGCTATGTCTGTCCGTGAGCTGGAAACTACGATTAGAAGTACGAGGTTAGCTCTTGCGAAAGAAAGAAACTGACCTGTATTTTGCATTTTACAAGTCCTGTTAGTTTAAATAGAAAATTGATTAAAATCAAGTCATGTTTTCATTAAAATTTTTTTGATATTTTTCCAAAAATGTTCACTTTAAAATTTTGGAGCTTATAAGTTGAACGTGTATTTCATCTCGAAACATTTACGGTCCCGGTTTGAAATTCGATTCACGTTCAAAAATAATTAAATAAGTTTCTCAACTTATCCCATACAATGCGTACGCACAGTACGTATCGATTTCCTCCATTTTACATTTAAATATCGGGTATATCAAGGTAACCTGCCCCTTCTTCATTTCTTTTCTGTTTTATAAAGTTTGTCCGCGTTTATGCGACATCCAGACGCCCTTGACGATCAAAGCTTGTCTATACGTCTGTCCGTCTTGCTTGCTTGTTTTTAATAAACAGATTGCACTTTTTGAGATATTTTCACCTAGCAGGACTTGATTTGTATTCACATTTTGTTATGCCGATCTATTCGGAATTACTTTCTAAATCGATTTAGGTTTATTTGAGCATCTGTTCGTTTTGTATTGTTGTGTTTAACCTACGAGCCGCCATTTTTAAGACATTTTGATGAAATTTCGTACACTAACATGGCCAAAGTATCACCGCTATTGAAAATTGTTTGGACCATATTTTTTTACTTACTTTGAAAAGTCATCAAGCAGCCGAAAGTGGGCCGAACCGAATCATTGTTAATAGCGATCATTTTCATTTTGAAAAGTTGTTATATGAATAACTCTACAGAACGAAGTGGTGGGGCCTTACTCCACTATAGGGTTTCTATTTGTTTTTTTGTATCCAAGAAAGAAATCTTATAAAATGTTTTCTTTTCAGGAAATCGTTTATCGTGATTATATTGATATTTCGGTTGCTATGGCGACTCCTAAAGGTCTAATGGTACCTGTTATTCGTAATGTCGAGTGTAAGAATTTTGCTGAAATCGAAATCGATTTGGCCGCCTTGGCTGATAAAGCACGTAGAAATATTATATCTGTTGAAGATATGGCTGGCGGTACATTTACCGTTAGCAATGGTGGAGTATACGGTTCTTTAATAAGTACGCCAATTATTAATCCACCTCAGAGTGCTATATTGGGTATGCATGGGGTTTTTGAGAGACCGGTTGCTATAAAGGGAAAGGTATTAATATGGCATCAATTTGATTTATTTTAATGTATGTGTGTGAATAATAATGAATAACTTTTAGGTTGTTATACGTCCAATGATGTACGTTGCTCTTTCTTATGATCACCGATTAATTGATGGCCGTGAGGCCATCATGTTTTTGCGTAAGATTAAGAGTGCTGTAGAAGATCCCAAAATTATGCTTGCCGGCTTATAAAAACCATATAGTAAAAGAAAAACTTCTTCCACACACGCCCGGAGAGGTATTCGTGTATATATATAATATAATAAAGAGTTTCAAAACTTTTTTCTTTTAATTTTAGATTATTTTATTATATAAATAATCATTATTAATAAATTACAAGCTGCTTGCAAAAAAAAAGCAAATGTCTTATAAAAGGAAAAAAAAAATCAAGTGCAGAAATTAGAAAATAATTTTTTTCCTTTTCCCCTTCATAAGTTTCTAAGAATTAAAATACTATTGTAAATTGTACTAAATATCTTATTTGTTTTGAGTAATGATTTTTATTGATTTCATGTGTTTTACATAAGATACCAGATATTTTCCCATAAAACATCATCTTTCTAAAGAAATATGTTTTGCTTAAAATCCAAAATCATCGAGCGCGTACTCGCTTTCCTTTAATTAATGCTTGCACAACACAAAAATAAATTACAATTGAAATTTTATGAAAATGAGATAATAGCATCATAATAATAAATATTCTTCTTCTTCTACTCAGCAAATCAACAACCGAAAATTCGCTGAGATGTTTAAAATAATAAGTATTATTTACAAGAATAGGTGTTACTAATATTGAAAATCACCAATCGCGTTATCGTTTATAAAATATCGTTGTCGTTTAATTTTGCACTGTATTTATTGTTGACAATGCTGTCATGATTTAGTTCGCGCTTAGGACGCGATGTGATCGGTCGGTTTCGTTTCTTATAAGAAAGAAAAAAGTTAAGTTTCATTTAAATTCTAATAAAATTCTATCGCAAAAAATTCCTTTAAATTGCAAATGATTTGTGAAAATTGATCGCTTTATTGTTATTCTTATTCATTACACATTTTGCTGCCCGAATGAAAGAAAACCATTCTTCGCTAAATAGTGTTGTTATTTCTATCATTTGCAAAAAAAACAAAAATGCATAACAAGAGCGTGTTTGAATATGTAATAATTGTATTGATGTTTTTATTCCCTACATGACGTGTGGCACTAAAACTTGAGGTAGACCTACCTTTTGTTGTATCAATCGATTTAGGACCACATATTATTGTGTTCTATCTACACGCCGTAACTTTCGAGACGTTTCAATAAGATCTGGTAAACTGATGTGTTTTAGTCGAAGAACGAAAGTTTTTAAAAATGATACGGATAGGAGCACTTTTTCGATTAGTTCCCTTATAACGTCTTGTTCTAAAAACGTCGTTATATGAGCAACCGTAAGTTGGTGTAGGGTATTTAGTCGTGGGCTGCATCCCTCTAAAGTCCTTACAGCTTCGGAGAACAGTAATAGTCCTAGTGCAACGAGAAATCATGAAAACGCATTGAACATTTGAATTATTCAACTATACCAAGTACCTTATTTACACTTATATCACCTTTGAATTTGGTGTAAACTGATTATACAGAAAGACAATCAAGAAGAGGTTTGATACCGAACTTTGTATTTCTCATAAAAAAAACGAAAAAAAACGAATAAACTCTAAAGTTCCAAAGGCATAATTTTCATAGGGAGAATAAGAAATTCTTCTCATTATTTACAAAAAGATTACACATTATATTGCAAATCAATAATTAATATTTTATAGAACATATTGCTACACTTACGAACTTTTGTTCACCATTATTTACTGTTGACAATGCTGACATTTATTTAGTCCGCGCATTCGCTTCGATCGGTAGAATGTGTTTCTTATAAGAAAGAAAACAATCTTGGAAATCATTCTTCAAAAGTTTACATTTTAATAAAACTCTTTTATAAAAATTTTTTTTAAATGTAAATCATTAGCATATCATGTACGGTATTAATAAACTTAGTGCGGTTAACTTACTTAGAAAACATTTTATCGGTCTTTTACTCAATAACATATGTTGGTGTGTGTGTTTGATATTCTTACAACATTCGTAATAACGGATATAAAAAAAAGCGAATATTTTATGCCTTAAAGAAAGTTTCAAGCCTTAGATGAGGACGAAACATATTTAGGATAAGAAAAATTTGAACAATTTTTATGATTTGCCTTCGCTTAAAGATTAGCGAAGACAAAAGGAAGAGAAAGCACACTCATCTATTGGAAATATTTTTTCTTATAATATTTTAGTGCTGGCAATGCTTATAAATGTAGTTGATGTCTAAACTAAGAAAAAAATTTCCATTTCTTTTGCAAAAAATTCTATGCAATTTGTAAAAATATATTATGGTAGATTAAAATTATAGAAACCTTTAATTTTTTAATTATTGTTTTCGTGCAAAGTTGTAACCATAATAATGCATAAAACCAATGAAAAATATATAAATTTTGTTGATCATATGGTAAAATTCCAATTCGAACTATTGTTATTTAAATGAGTGAATAAAAGTGTTGTGTTTGCGATAAAACGTTCAGGTGTAATTCTCCCGCCATCTCCCTCTCTCGTAAAGGGTAAGTGATTATGTTCAAAAATGTTTAGAAAATTTTTGCATAAATCTTTACCAATCGTAATGAGATGTTTTTGTGCGGATAAAATTATAAGATAACATGATGGAAATCTTCGAAGCTATTTGCGAATTATAATTTTTTTAAAACATTCCATTAAACAGGCACTTAGGTTTATAGATGTATTTGTTACTCAGATGGTGATTAATGTATTGTCTTGTTTTGTTGACTAACCATTATCCGTCCATGTTTTGTTGCTGCACGTTGCGATAACCAAGCGGCAACCATAGCAGATACGACAGTTTTCATTTTTATTCGTTCATTTTGCTCCCAAGCTTATAAAATGGAGATGAGTCGTTCTTATATCCATCACTCAAGGACGAGGCTTACATTCAGGTAGACAACATGTCTGCGGGTTCCAAAATCAAATCTCAAAAACTTTATAAAGTATGTATATTTATAATCTTAACTGATTTAAGCGTGTCTGTCAGTCTGTTTTGTTTTATGGTATTTAACTTGCAGGCAGTAATTTTCGAGAAATTTTGTACATTGGCATATCTTGCTTCAAGGACGACCGCTATAGGTAATGTCCATTCGAATTGGATCGGCTTTTCGTCCACTTACCATATAAGATCTTGTTTTGAAATTGTTACATGAGTAACTGTCTCCCTATTTCCCTCACTATCCATCTATCTGCCTATTTTTCTCTGTCCTTTTGCATTTCCTTTGCTTTTTAGATGCGTTTGCATTGTTAGCTGACTTGTAGTGTTTGAAGACTAATTACACTTTAAGTATGTGTTCTTTGTGTACATTGAGGCTTAGTTTAGCTAAACTGTTACTACGTTTCTGTTTTACATTAGCAACTGGTATACTTTTTCCGTGTTCGAGTCGATTGAATAATCCATTCGTTAAATTTGAAAAGCTTTCTCTTCCTTTCGCACTTACCACACGGATAGTGGTTTTATGGAAACGAAAATCAGCTGTGTTTTTCTTATAAATGTTTAGTGTAGGTTTTTTTTTTTTTTAAATTTCGTTTGAACATGAGCAAAAGCAACGTATCGCATCGTATACCTTGGCAATCCATTGTGTGGCAATCCAACTTTTGGTAGTTACCCACTTCTGAATGCCATTAGTAAGGCCAATGGAATTAACGCAGGTGACGTATTTTATTACATTTCATGGACTACAAAAACTATTAGTTGGCTGCGTAGCAATCGTACCTTCTGCCGCTGAATTATTATACGATTTACTAAAACTACTTATGGCGCTAATATTTGAGAACGGTGTTGGACTGGCTGTAACAGTGTATGTCGGATCATCGAGCTTTGCGAAAACATTGGAATTATCGGGTAAACGATATTTTCTTCAATTAAGATATTGTTGCTATTGTTCCTCAATCTTCTCATGAAGCTGATGTAAATGGCCAACTAACATATGAAACTCTCATTGATGTGGCGAAAATCTGTTTCACCTTTTTCTTTGTTCGCGCGCAATTTTGTTATTGTAAAGGGGCTGCGTATATATGCGATGTGAAACGTTTTTGATCATAACCCATGCAAGTGTGGTTATGACAGGTTTGTGGAGGCTATTAGTGTGGTTATGACGGGATTGTGGAAGGTATTAGTGTGGGTATGACAGGTTTGTGGAGGGTATTCGTGTGATTATGACAGGTTTGTGGAGGCTATTAGTGTGGTTATGGCAGTCTTGTGGAAGGTATTAGTGTGGATATGACAGCTCTGTGGAGGATATTAGTGTGGATATGACAGGTTTGTGGAGGATATTAGTGTAATTAAAATGGAGCATTATTTTCAAACGTTTCATATCATCAGGAGGTATACTCTCTGGATTAGTTAACGAATGCATATGCTGTTCGATGAGAGCAATTTGTTCGCGAAAACCGATTAAATCTTGCTCGTATTTCATTATCAACATCATTATTATTTGATGATAACCTCCTTAATAAGTATAAAAGTGGATAGTTCCAATCCATATGTATGATCCATATGTATGATCTAACCTTACGTGTGCCCTTAGGCATAAGAATGACATATGACACAGGCACCGCCAGTTTTTTTATATGTATATATATGAAGAGAGTTTCTACCCTTAGATAATAATTTTCATATTAGCTCTCCCACGTGTCATTACTCCTTAAAACGCAACACATGGCGATGTAGCTGGGTCTGTTTTCGCTCCGGTTTTTCATATATTTAAAGGCTTACCGTAATGTGAATTTATGTAATCAAAATTATTTTATTCCAAGCCTTGTCGTCAACCATGTGTCCCGAGTTATTATTGCAAGAGCAGATATATTCAAGTTATTCTCACGCCCGATCGCAACATCATGTATACTTAGGGGCACATATATTTAATCAGTATAGTTAGTGCAAGATTGTAAATTAATATACATCTGCATGTCCGTCTGTCCGCCTTTATCTTTGTTCTTGGGAAGCTTTAGATGGAAAGCTAAACATCCAAAAATATTATATACGATGCGATACGATATCTATACGATGGCATTGTGAATGTAAGGTCATGAATAAATATACAACTGTACGTGTATCTGTCCG